CAGCGCCGCTGCAAATTGTCCACCTGATTCAACGTGCTGGAGTTCCATCCGGGAGGCCTTTGGGGCGTTGAAGTCACCTACCAACAGGAGATGAGTGAAATGGTAGTTGGAAGAAAGTTTCTCAAGTGTTTTTAAGAGGAGGACTCGAATGGCTGCGGTAGACCACGCCGAGAAGGGGATAATCGGACCCGCACAGCGGGATTTGGACCCATAGTGCATCGCAACAGGGTGCAGGAGTGGTGTCAGAGAGGACAATAGGGATTGGTAGGGCCGCATGTAAGTACAGATCAACCGCACCTGCTCGCCCTCGTTTTGAGTCGGCACGAAAAATAGAGTAACCGTCTATCGAAATCTCCCCGTCAGAGACATCTGGTGTGAGCCAAGTCTCTGTGAGTGGTTGTTCAAGGCAAGCCGACTGTTTAACATCGCCGAGTTTGTTGAAAAGGCTGAGGCAGTTTGTGGACAAGCATTTCAACACCGTCTCCGCTGAACGCCGCGGCTTTGACTACCTCCATTGTGTCGTTACCTGCTATCTTCAGATTGTGACAACCTGGTCTCGTCACATTTGGGCATGCGATTCGCGCATGTAGTGGTCTGGCTCCCCTATAAGTTATTTTAGCAGGTGCGTGTGGCAAGGGAATAAAAATAAATTCGCTAGATTGAGTGTACAATAATAAATATTTCAGATGGAACAGACTCACCAATAATTGTTCCCTTTAAAGTAGTTCGTCCAGGTCAGCGAACAAACAATAATCCAACCATAGTTGTCCTGGGGTCTTCTTCTGAACAGTTCCCACGTTTAATAGATTCCGAAGATAGTCTGAAATGTCTTGATACCAGAGTTAGCACATGAGACTCGCGAATGTCCACTTAAAGCGCGGACGAAATCAGAAGGGTCGAAGCACGCGACCGCCGCTGACTATTTGCACACCCAGATTATTTTCGCCAAAACTATAGGGTTTTCATAGCTGCATCTTTCGGTGACATGTTGCACGTTGCATTTTGTTTAAGTGAACGAACTTTCAAGGTCATAGACCATAACCGATTCGCATTCCCTTAGCGGTTTGCGCGGCGGAGAACACGGAGCCGCGCTTTAGCAAATTTTGCCGTTCTTCGGCGTTCTTTGAGAATAAATGCACCCAAAGAATATATAGTGCACGTTTTGCCCTGGAGGACTGGTTGTTAACGTTTGTTTGCTCGTTGTTTGTTTTGCTATACATTCCTCAGATTAAAAAATGCGATCATAATCGCAAATATTTCTTTCGTTCAGAGAACCTGATCACACACTAGCAGCACAAATCGGTTATAGTCTGTCATATGGTGGTTAAAGCCAGTTATCTGAAGGTTATTCAACCGCGTAGCTATCAACCAATCAACATGAAGTGTTGTTTCTACACTTATTCATATAAGTGTTTCTTATCATATAAAGTGTTGGCATAAAACTAAAATGCATTATTCCAATTTATTTTCAGAAACCCATTCGGACATTTTTTATCTGCATCAGCGTTTAAGTAAATGGCCGTAGCTGCAAGCCCTTTTCCTGGATCGTCGCTGACCCACGTTCCTGCTGTCTCCGCGTGTTTGCGAATTTCTATCTGAAGGAATGGTAAGTCATGGCTGCTGATACATGTATGATAACTGTAGCCTTCCAAACGTGATTTGCTCGCTTCCAGGTGGACACTTAACCGCAAACTGAAGCGCGCTGGAGAGTTAGCCTTGGGACAACCACCCAATTCGATGAAGGCACGCGACTTTCACCGTGTAGAACCGGAGATCGATTCACGCGCGCACAGTAAAAGTGCCATTAAGTTACTAATGTTCTAAGTAGACGAAAAACAAAGTGAGGCGAAAAATGAAGGGGAGAATATGCTCCAGCCTAGTTTGGCGGACACTTTCCGAGACCGGGTGATTTCTACCAATGTCCACTTCAGTACCGTAAATCACCCGCTTGTATCACTGCAGCACAAGCTGCTTTGAGGCACGGGGACACTGATGAGAATGCCCCGGTCATGTCCAGCTGAAGAAGAATAAAGCTGCACAATAACGGTAACACCATAATCTGACAGATATTAGCACGTATTGTGCGGCCTTTGACCAACCCGGTCTTTATGGATGAGTTTGTAAGCCCGAAGACGTTTGTACATACCTGCATGACGTAGTGCGGGAACTTGAAGAGCTCCTGCGCCTAGGAGTTGTCGTTAGTGGCCTGCATCATCAGGTCATGTTGGATGCAATTATTTGTGACGAACCAGCACGCACCGTCGTCACACGAACGAGAGGTCACAATTCCTACTATGGTTGTGATAAGTGCTGCATAAACGAGCATTGCTTCAAAACAAAGATAACGTTTCCATATGGGCAGCATGTTCTGCGAGCTGACAACGGTATACGTCGGGAAACTCGTAACAGCCCGTCACTATGCTTTACGATACCCATTGACTTCGTTCACTGCTTTCCCATAGATTATATGCACGCCGTATGTCTCGGTGTTGTGCGTAGATTAGTTCCATTTTCGTAAACGGTGATCGACCTGTACGCGTTGGGTCTGCTGGCTTGAACCGGGTAGATCAATGATTCGAAGTATGCGTGCCCATATGCCCATAGATTTCCCTCTTAAGTGCCGGGAAATTACACTGTACAAACAGTAGAAAGCGACAGAGTTTCGCAAACTGCTGTTTTGCATTGGTCCGATTGTGTTTAAGGGCATTCTTTCCCAGGAACGTTATCAAAATTTCATAGAATTATTTATACCTGTATATTTATTTTCCTATCTTCGCTATTCTGTCACCCACCTTGATTATTCACGACAATTATTGATGGTATTTGTTGACAAGTTGCAGAAACTGTATGGCTTGCAGGAGATGGTGTAAAATCATCATCATCATCATTGTCAGCTGTAAGAACCGCGTACTCGTCTTACAGTGGTTGTAGCTGCCGCAGTTTTGGTAGGTAGCTGCGCATTGCAGGCGGGAGCTGATAAAATGGGGCATAAACCCAGCACTGTCAGTGGG